TGTCATTCTGATCCAGAATAAACACTTTCACTGTGACATTGCTGCTCAATGATGGGATTCCAGAATCAGTGGCAACAACTTGGAACTGGAAGGTTTTCAGGGTTTCAAAGTCAAAACTTTTAAGTGCCATTATATCTCCATTTTCAGAGTTTATGTTGACAAATAATATCATGGAGCGTTCATTACCTGCGGTCCTCATAAGGCTATATGTAATTAATGCATTTTCTCCTTCATCACGGTCAGAAGCTTGCACCGAGCACAACAAGCTTCCTGTTGGGTTATTTTCTGGGACATAAAAAGTATAAACACTCTCTAAAAACTCAGGGCTGTTATCATTGCTGTCAGATAGTTGTAGACTTATTTTCTTTTGAGACATCAACGGTGGGACACCTGCATCCTTAGCTATTATTGTAAGATCATAAACATTTTTTTCTTCTCTGTCCAGCTGAGATTTGGTGACTACTGCGAACATGTTATCTTGGATTGATGGAGTTAGCTTAAATGGTGTTTCATCAGCAATATAGCTCATTACTTTTCCATTAATACCAGAATCCAAATCAGTTATGCTTATGAGTGCCACTGTTGTTCCTGGTCTGGAGTCCTCTGAAACTGTTCTTGATAAAGAGGCCACTTCAATTTCAGGAGGATTGTCATTAATGTCTGCAATTTTAATGATAACATTTTTATATGTTTTAAATGGAAAAAATCCTTTATCAGAGGCTTGTATGTCAATGTCATAGCTATCCTTTTCTTCAAAGTCCACCTGCCCTTTTACTATGATCTCGCCAGTAGCAGAGTTAAGACTAAATAGCTCTTTGACTTTATCTTTGACATCACTGCCAAAGGAATAAAATACCTCTCCATTTGAGCCAGTATCCAAATCTGTTGCATTAACTTGGATGACTGTGGTACCCACTGGAGCGTTTTCTTGTAGAATTGCTGAATATGTATTATTAATGAAGACTGGCATGTTGTCATTGACATCGATTACATCAATGTGTATTTCAACTGTACCAGTCTTTGGTGGAGTCCCACCATCTATAGCCTTCAGCAGCAGTTTCTGGCTACTTTTAGTCTCCCTGTCTAACTGCCTTTGTAGCTGCAAAATTGGTGTTTTGCCATCCCTACCACGATCTTTAATTTCAAGTCGGAAATGCTCATTCTGACTAACTGTATACTGTTGAACAGAATTTGTACCACTATCTGGATCATATGCCTTTTGTAACTGATATTTTGCTCCTGGCAATGCAGATTCTGAGATCTCCAGTCGCTCAGTTTTCTCAGGAAATGCAGGAGAGTGGTCATTTAAATCAGTTATCTCTACTGTAATATAGCTTATTTCAAGCGGATTTTCCAGAACTGTTTTGAGATTGATTAAACATGCATTTTCATCTTTACATACCTCTTCTCTGTCAATTTGCTGCCTAGAGTAAAGGGCACCGTCGTTCTCATTTATATCAAAAAGAGGTTTAGACAAGCCAGACATAATACGAAATCCCCTCCTTTTCATCACAGACACGTCTATTCCTAAATCCTTTGCTACGTTTCCAACAAAGCTTCCCTCCTTGACCTCTTCTGAAATCGTATATCTCAGTTGCGCCGAGGCAGAGATGACACATGAAAGCCAAACCCAAACAGTAAGCAGTGCACATCGTTGTCGCCATGAATCCCATCCTCTTTGTTTCATGTCGTGAAGGGTAAATAGAAATCCAAATGTACCCATGATTTTCCACTTCCCCGGGATTTTTTTGTTTGTTTGTTTGTTTTTAAAGAAAAAAATATGAATGAGCGTCACAAATCCATTATTTCACGAAAAACGGTATG